CCGTGCTCTTGTTCGCGATACGTCCGCGGACAAGCTCTCCTCCCGCACCCTTCCTTGTGTCTTCCTCGGCTTTCCGACTAACGCGCCTGGCTGGCAGTTTTACCACCCCGCCTCGCGCACAGTCCTGTCTTCTCAGGACGTCACTTTTGACGAGTCAGTCCCGTTCTACCGCCTCTTTCCCTACCGCACTGCTCCTCTCCCTCCCCCGCCTCTCTTCCTTGCTCCAGGTCCCCCTCCAGTAGACCCCCTTCCCCCCCAGGGTCCTGCTGTGTCTCAGGTAGACCCGCCCCCCTTAGCTGAGCCTGTCGAGGTCACTAGCGTCTCAGGTGCTGCTGGGGGTGGTACTGCTCGAGGTGCTGCGTCTGGAGATGCTGAGCCACGTCGTGAGGTGCTGGAGGGTGAGGTGCCTGAGGGTGCTGAGCCGGTGCGTGAGGTGCTGGAGGGTGCGGAGCCTGGGGGTGCTGAGCCGGTGCGTGAGGTGCTGGAGAGCGCGGAGCCTGAGGGTGCTGTGTCGGTGTGAGAGGTCCTGGAGGGTGCAGAGTCTGGGCGCGCTGAGCCTGAGGGTGCTGGACCGGTTACTCGCCGGCCCCTTACACCAGCGGAGCTGCGAGAGTGGTTTGCGGTTCGTCAACGACTGCGGAGGCGTCCTGGAGTTGGCGGTACTGCAGTTGGTGCTGGAGACACTAGTGCTACCGCATGCCCTGGAGGTGCTCGTACCGGGGGTACTCGAGCTGTTGGGGCCGGTAGTTCTAGGGGTGCTGCTGGAGCTGCTGGTGGTGGTGCTGCTGGCTCTGGGGGTGCTTGAGCTGCTGGAGCTGCTGAAGGTGCTGCTGGAGCTGCCGGTGGAGCTGGTGGTGCTACTGTTGGTGTTGCTGAGGGTGCTGCTGGAGCTGGTGGAGCTGCTGGAGCTGGTGGTGGTGGTGGTGCTGGCTCTGGGGGTGCTCGGGCTGCTGGAGCTGCTGGAGGTGCTGCTGTTGGCTCTGCGGGTGCTGAGCGGCCACGGCCGTACTTCGTTCCGCTCCTTGAGCAGGTTCTTGGCCTCCCGCCTTCTCTTGCTCCTCCCCCTTCCTTAGAGTGTCCACCGCCTGTCCTGTCGCCGTCACATCTACAACCCACCTCCCCAATGCCAACTCCGTCTCCTTACGTTGGTCCGACTGGAGGTCTTACTGAGCGTCGTGAGCCTGCGTCTCGTCCTGCGTCGCCTGTCCATGTTGCTCGCACTGGTGCTTGTGGTTCTCGTCAGCGTTCTCCTCCTGTCCCCGGTATGCACCGGATGTCTCTGCGTCCTTCCACTGCTCCGCAGCGTGTCCCTCTGCCGTCTCCTCCTGATTCATCTCTTCCTGCCCTTGCTGACCCAGAGTCCGACTCCCTTCGTGCTGCTACTCCCACTGTCACGCGTCTCCTGGCTACTATTGTCACTGACCCTTCCTTTGAGTCTACTGCTGCGTCTGCGCTAGTTGCCGAGCTTGTAGACTTTGCTGCTCGCTGTCGTCTAGACTACGCTGCCAGTCTTGTTGCTGAGTCAGAGTCTGTCTGTCCTCCGTCCGTCGAGGGTGAGTGTGCCCTTGGCACGGACGTCCTTGAGAACAGGCAAGAGGAGTTCTAGTGTTTGGCTGCTGCTTCACCTCATCTTGTGTCCATGCTGCTTGCCTCTGAGGGAGACCCGGATGCACTTGACATCCCGACTCCGCGCTCTTACGCAGAGGCGGTTGAGGGTCCCTACTCCTCTCAGTGGCAGGCAGCCATGGATGCAGAGATGGCTTCCTAGAAGTCCACAGGCACCTACGTCGACGAGGTTCCCCCGCCTGGGGCGAACATCGTCAGTGGCATGTGGATCTTCAGGGTGAAGCGGCCGCCGGGCTCTCCGCCTATCTTCAAGGCGCGTTACGTGGCTCGTGGTTTCAGACAGCGACAGGGAGTTGACTACTTTTAGACCTTCTCTCCCACCCCGAAGATGACCACTCTTCGGGAACTACTGCACGTCGCTGCTCAGCGTGACTATGAGCTTCACTCCCTTGACTTCAGCACAGCTTTCTTGCAAGGCAGCCTGCACGAGGAGATCTGGCTGCGCCGCCGACCTGGCTTCACTGGGCTGTTTCCCCCTGGTACCCAGTGGAGCCTCCGGCGGCCAGTCTACGGTCTCCGCCAGGCACCTCGTAAGTGGCACGACACACTGAGGACTACACTTGCGGCTCTTGGGTTTGCTCCTTCCACTGCTGACCCGTCGCTGTTTCTACGCACCGACACTTCGCTGCCGCCGTTCTACATCCTCGTGTACGTCGACGACTTGGTCTTTGCTACTGCTGACACTGAGGCACTGACTCTAGTGAAGTCGGAGCTGCAGAAGAGACACACGAGCACAAACCTTGGTGAACTGCGCAGCTATCTTGGCTTGCAGATCACTCGGGACAGAGCACGCCGCACCATCACTCTGACCAAGTCACACATGGTGCAGCAGGTCCTTCAGCGCTTCGACTTCCAGTTCTCCTCGCCATAGTCCACTCCTCTGGCTATAGGTCACTCGCTCTCAGCTCTGCCTTTGGATGAGTCCGTAGAGCCGAGTGGCCCGTATCCAGAGCTTGTGGGCTGCCTCATGTACCTGATGACCTGCACTCGCCCTGACCTCGCTTACCCTCTTAGCATCCTGGCGCGCTACGTTGCGCCCAGGATACACCTTCCAGAGCACTGGAAGGCAGCTAAGAGGGTGATGCGTTACTTGTGCAGTACGTCAGGCATGGGGCTCGTGCTTGGAGGACGGGGTCGAGTTGTCCTCACTGGTCACGCAGACGCTTCTTGGGTTGACGACTTGGCTACGCAGCGGTCGTCACAGGGTTACACCTTCAGCCTTGGCTCCGGTTCTGTCTCTTGGCGGTCTACCCGCTCTTCTTCTGTTCTCAGCTCCAGTTGTGAGGCTGAGATCTACGCAGGGGCCATGGCTGCATAGGAGCTGCGTTGGCTCACCTACCTGCTGACCGACCTGGGCGAGACGCCTCGTTCTCCTCCAGTTCTGTACGTCGATAACAAGGCAATGCTTGCCTTGTGTCGCGAACAGAGATTGGAGCACAGAACAAAGCATATCGCCCTTCGCTACTTCCTTGCTAGGGAGCTGCAGCAGCGTGGTCAGCTTCGTCTTGCCTACGTGGCCTCTCAGGCCAACACTGCTGATGTGTTGACCCAAGGCTCTTCCGCCTCGTGACCATCAGCGATTTTGTATTGCACTTGGCCTTGTTCCTGTGTCTTCTCACTTACTAACTTCTTGACCTTGCCTGTACTGTGATCTATATTGTATACCTGCACTTGTTAGGTAGTGATCACTTTGCTATTGCCTTTGCATATATATACCTCTGCATGTGGACTGGCCTTGTGGCCCTTTGCTTGTGCTCAGATTGTGTGGTGACGTTGTGATCCACCCTGAGCTTGATTTGCTTCTCTTGACTGGTCTTGTGACCCCTTGTTCTCCCCCACTTTGCCTATGGGGGTGTGTCAAATTGTATATATGCCATATATGTTTAGGCTGTAGTGGGGTAGCCAATATGGGGTACAGCCCCTTCTAGGGTTTCATATTTGTACCCATCTCTTTCATAGTTCATGCCATTCCTGTTCATTCTCCTGACATGGTGTAATCCTGGACGGAACCGAGTTGGTGCCAAGTGCGGAGCTTCGGGCGCGCCGCGATCAAAGCCGCGATTGGCTCAAATCGAGCCCGCAGACCTGCGCACCACGCGTCCCACGTGCGACATTGGGGCACATCCACGAAATACAACGGCGCCCAGAGTTTGGTTTGTCATTCCCGTGTCGGTAGAGTCGCGTAGTCGTTTGACATCGTGACGATGACTCACCACCAATTCATAGCGGACCCTCGCAGCAGCGACACGGCATAGCAGATTTTCGCCGTATCCTCCGAGACGTAGTTGGCATAAAAAAACACGATCATCGTGAACAACCACGCCTGAACGGTAGAACCACCCCGTTGACCCGGGTCAAAGCATGGCGGACGCTGCGGCTTCAGCGACATCGGTGACGGCGTGCCGAATCTTTAGTCGGTGCCGAAATCGTGATGCAAGGCTGGTTCATGGCCACGTTCGTCGCTTCGGGGTGTGTCATGTCGTGGTGGTCGTCTCCGTCGTGGCGGACGACGCCATCACTGGCCGCGCTCGCGGGTTGGCTAACACTTTTGTGCTGTGATGCTTGCGGTGTAGGCTATACCGGGGTGCCATGTGCTTGTGGTTGCGCCTGTTGTGCTCATGCGACGTCATTTTGCAGGGATCTCCGTTCCGCCGTCAGAGCTGCAATTTCCTCGGAATTTTCGTGCAGTTGTCGCAACAGCTCGATCAAGCGGTCCTGCGTGAGCGTAGTGACGTGGATGTGTTCGGCCATTACGAAGGGCGTCGGCTCAACTTAGTCTAAGCGCAGTCGTGGCTGCACACGTTTACGAGAGAACGCGAGGACAGCGACCCCTAGGTGCTAAGGGGCGTGAGTCCCTTCGAGTGAAAAATCAAAAGTTGATTTCTTGGGGTGCGGAGATGCGCGGTCCGAAAGAAAGTGGTTCTGATAACCAAGTGTTACGGGTGCAATGGATCGAGGTAGCGAGGATTGCACAAAGGTGTCAAACGAGTACAAAATGTGAGCGAAAGCATGAGCGAACATTTATACGCGAAACATGCAAACGGTAACGCGGTGCATGCGAACTAGCTAGTGATAGGCTAACATCGAGGCTCGGGCTAGTCCCGAAGCGTAGGCTGACACGGCCGGGCCGGCGGTGCATGGCTTGGTGAAACAGTGCACGCGAAGTCGACGAAGCCCCGTTAGCAGTAACGGGCGAACAACGGATGCTACTGTACGCGATGTTGCAGGTCGCGGTAAGGAATGTCGAGAAAATTTCTTACATCCAATAAAAGATGCATGACGCATCTAGTTTACAAACGAATCTCAATTCAATGAGAATGCTGAAACATCGGTCAATTGACGGATTAAATATAACAAGGATGCAGGTGAAGCGCTCACTCGTGCTTCTTTGGCCGTTTCGACCCTGTATGTTTCCTCGAAACCTCATCTTCTCTTTGTTCCTCCACCACCCGTACTGATTGCTTCCCTTCGTCCCCAACACCTGACAGTACCAGGAAGAACAAAGAAGGGAAAAGGAAAAACACCAGCCAGGCCAGTATACAGAGAACTCAAAATTGTCGTGCAGAGTGGACAGAGCAGGTGCTAAAACTTGCCGTGTCGCGCATTCTGAAGTGCCTTTTCTCAATCAATCCTGCAAGGGCATAAGCTTCAAAATGGCCTGCTGCTGAAAAAAAGCGTTAAGCCATTTCCAAAGCATGCTTCACGGGACATGTTAGAATCCTCAAAGCTGATAAGCCTCCTGACACTCACAACACAACGCTCACCAGTCATATTAGCCGGCACGCAGCGGAGGAACAGGATCGGCAGCAGCGTGCAAACAGCCTGTATCGTGACGCCAAGTGTCAGGTTATCAAATGACGTGGCGGTGATTCCTAGCCGCGTGGCGAGAGTGGCGCCCATGTAGCCACTGAGGGTGTTGCCAAAGTTGTAGGCCGACATGAAGAGAGCAAAGAGCGTTCCCTCTATCCCCGGGGGGCACAGGCGGGCGGAGAGCACGAGGAATGGCATGAACCTGAATGGGAGGTGAAGGGACGGGGGGTTGGATGGGGCAAAGGAGGAGAGGGGGGGATTGAGGGGTGCAGAGAGAGAGCACGAGGAATGGCATGAACCTGGATGGGATTTGACGGGATGGAGGTAGGGGGGAAGAGGAAGAGGAACAGTGACAGCACGAGAAGGACAAAATGGCATGAAGTTGGATGGATAGTGAAGGGATGAAGGAAATAGCAGCTGAGTCCAGCAGGAGGACCTGTGTCGGAGATGCAGGGCCACTCGAGCCACCTTTGAGGCGCCTCAAAAGAAGACTTGTGTCGGAGATGCCACTCGAGCAACCCTTTCACCCCCTTCCCCCCTCGTATCTTATTTTATGTCTCCTGTGCTCAGGGCGAAATTGCATCAACAGAATTCAGCTTTACTCACTTGAACTGGTTGACTGCATCGGAAACAGCAGCAGAGCCCAGCAGGAAGACAGTATCAGGGATGCCACTCAACCCCCACCCTCACCTTGCTATGCACAACCACAACTTGCCTCAAATCGATTTCAACCCAACTCACTTTCACTGGTTGACTGCATCGGAAACAGCAGCAGAGCCCAGCAGGAAGACAGTATCAGGGATGCCACTCAACCCCCACCCTCACCTTGCTATGCACAACCACAACTTGCCTCAAATCGATTTCAACCCAACTCACTTGAACTGGTTGACTGCATCGGAAACAGCAGCAGAGCCCAGCAGAAAGACAGTATCAGGTATGCCGAGCCTCAAGTTGAGGCGAGAGGTGAGGAGGGTGTCGGCGATTGTGCACACGGCCATTGAAATGTGCACCCACCTGCCACAAGGGGTTAAGGCCGAGATATGGGGTTCAGGATTTTGCATGGGAGGGAAAGAGCCTCAGGTTGAAGCGAGAGGTAAGGAGGGTGTTGGCGATCGTGCAGACCGCCATTGAAATGTGCACCCACCTGCGAAGGAATGTTTAAGGTTGCGCATTTGTTTGAATATCAGGGCTTGCAATTCCGGGTGCAGGGTTTATTTATGAAAGGGAAAGAGCCTCAGGTTGAGGTGAGAGATGAGGAGGGTGTCGGCAACTGTGCACGTATGGTCATTATAATGTGCACCCACTTACAAATGAAGTTACGATTCTGGTTTTCAGAGTTTAAGAAGCGTGGAGAAATGGGCCGTTGGGGTGTCTTGCTGTGCACTCACATGAAGATTCGTCGAATCGGGACGTATTTGAGCCTCGTGTTGTAGAGCAGAGTCCCGAGCATGAGGCCCGCCCAGCCAATGACCTTGGGGAGCGAGGAAGGGGATGTTGGAGCCATAAAGGAACAGGTGGGGAAAGGGGTGTGGGAAAAAGGAGGGGTGGCAGGCAGAGGATTGGGGGATGGAGGAGTGGGCGAGTGAGATTGGAGAGGTAGGCATAGTATCATAACCTGTAGCACTTTTCAAATTTCGGGAGTTCTCAAACACGTTATGAGTTTGGTTCAAGAGGCAGGAATATTCTCAGTTGAGCTTTGAGACGTTTCAATTCTTGTGCGTTGGTGCGTTTTGGTTTTTTTTTTTTCGGTGGACAAATGGAAGGATCTGAGTGCTTGTTCATAAAACACCCTGGTGGAGCCAAGAAAGGAGGGGTCGAGGTGCAGATGGTTGGAATTCTGAGGCGCCCCATCTACTCAAAAAGTCAAAGCCCTATGTGTTTGATCAAAGTGTACCTTAGTGGAGCCAAGAAACGAGGGGTCGAGGTGCAGATGGTTGGTGTGGAAATAGAAGAGGGAAGACGTTAGGGTAGGCACGACAGCACATGACGTCATGAACCATGCCATAGGCCTGGGGAGGGAGGCGGGAGGGAGGAACAGCGGAGGAATGGCAGAGAGGGAAGGACAGAGGGGGAAGGGGAAGCGGAAATGTAAGGTTGGGGGTGCAGATGGTTGGTGTGGAAGTAGAAGAGGGATGAGGTGAGGGTGGGCGCGACTGCACAGGACGTCATGGACCATGCCATGGGCCTGGGGGAATGTGGGAGAGGGAAGCACAGTGGAGGCAGAGGGAAGACGGATGGGGTTGGAAATGGTTCGTAAGGAGGGATCGAGGTGCAGATGGTTGGTGTGGAAGCAGAAGAGGGAGGAGGTTAGGGTGGGGACTACTGCACACGATGTCATGAACCATGCCATGGGCTTGGGGGAATGTGGGAGAGGGAAGCACAGTGGAGGCAGAGGGAAGACGGATGGGGTTGGAAATGGTTCGTAAGGAGGTAGAGGTGCAGATGGTTGGTGTGGAAGTAGAAGAGGGAGGAGGTTAGGGTGGGCATGACAGCACATGACGTCATGAACCATGCCATAGGCCTGAAGCGTTGCAGGAAGAGGAGAGGTGAGGGGAGAGGACATGAGAGAGAGAGAAGATATATATGCACATATATACACAAACATATATGCAAATATGTACACAAACATATGCACATATATATGCATAAATATATACATATACTATATATGTGCACATGATAGAAACTTGCGGTCACCAAATGTGTCTGGAGACAAGTCAGCACGCCACAAAGCCATTAGTGTATGGAGCTTTTGTGATGGTTTCAAAAATTCAAATTTGCTTCTTCAACTCGAATGTGCACTCACCAAACATTGCCCTCACCCAGAAAACATGCTCACCAGAAGATGTCCAGAGACATGACAGCATGCCACAGAGCCGCCAAAATGGAACCTTTCAGATGCATAGAGTCAACTTTTACCAGAAAATGAGCTCACCAGAAATTGCGCTCACCAGAAATTGCGCTCACCAGAACATGCACTCACCAGAAGATGTCTGGAGACATGACAGCATGCCACAGAGCCGTCACCAGATCAAGCACCTTCCTCCCCAACCCCCCTGCCGCCTTCCTTCTACTTCTCTCCTCACTTCTCCTCTTCCTCGCCTCCTCTGCTCCCTCCGCCCTTCCAGTCTCAGCTGCATTTCCCTTCCCTCCTTCCCCGTCACCCCCCTCTCTGCCTCTCCGTTGTCGCAGCCCTGTGCTCTGCTCTCCTGCCACACTCTTCTCGCCCCCACCCTCCTCTTTTCCTCCACCCACCTCGTCCCCCTCTTTTCCTTCTCCATCCTTCTTCCTCGCGCCTACAGCCTCTAGAGACTTTTCATCAGCCTTTCCCCTTGAGGGTTCGAAAAGATCACTACCCATTTCCTTCCCTTTGCCCTCCACACTCTCCTCCTCCTGCTGCTCTGGTACCACCTGCTCTGGTACCACCTTCTCCCACTCCCCCAACTCGCCACTCTCCTCACTCTCGCTGCCACCACTCATGCGGTTACCATGTGAACTTGCACAACCATCTGTAACCACGGAATCAGCATCAGAGTCAATGATCGCATCAGAATTCCGTTCAGTTTGAACACAGGATGGTGCTGCTGCTGCTGTACCATTACTCACACTGTCTCTCTCTTTCTCATCCCCCTCACTTGCTCTTGCTCCCTTCCCACTCTCCCTCACGCCCTCTCCCTCCTCTCCCTCCCGTTCCTCCTCCTGCACGCCCTCCTCTTCTTCCTCCTCCTCGTCCCCCTCGTCCTCCTCCCCATTCCCCATCCCCCCTGTAAGCTTCCTCTCAGATGACATAAAACACATCGCGAGCTGCGATAGGGGGAAAAACGCGAAGAGTGCAAACATGCCGTGTGGCTGCAGCGTCTTTAGAGCTGGGCCCCCTAGGAGGCTTCCCACCACGCCGCCTGCTGCCATGGAGAACCAGGAGAGGGACTGTAGGTCGCCCGCATACCTCTCCCTGCACACCGGGATATCACATCACACAAGAGGAGGGGAATGAGCGATGAACAGACCAGCTGCAAAGGAGGCTGCCCACCACGCCTCCTGCTGCCATTGAGAACCATGAGAGGGACTGCAAGTCGCCCGTTTCCAGGGCTTAGGGTTTCTGAGTTCGGTTTTGAAGTAGGGCTTAGAGTACCGATTTGATAGTGTAGGATCGGATGTGTATTTCACAAAAAAAAACTCACTTTTCTCCTTTTGCCGCTTCTGCCACCATAGCATCGATGACCACGTCAGCCATGGCCGCCTCCAGGTTCCGCAGCACGAGCAGCAGCGTGAAGGGCGCAGGGGAGGCGGCTTGCAGCGCACCTAGAGAGTGCCGTTTCTCGGGCTTAGGGTTTCGGGTTCAAAGCAGGGTTCAGGGTTTTGTTTACCAGTATCTTTCATAGAAAGCACTCACTTGTCCCCTTTTGCCGCTTCTGCCACCATGGCATCTATCACCACGTCAGCCATGGCCGCCCCAACGTTCTGCAGCACGAGCAGCAGCGTGAAGGGCGCAGCGGAGGCGGCGAGACTTGGGACGAACGCGAGGGCGAGCCAGGAGAGCAGCGAGAGGGCGTTGGCGATGATTATGTAGGGAATGCGCCGTCCGCCCCTTATAGGCACACAGTCAGATACGATCCTGCGGAGGAGGGAGATACAAGGAGAGGAATGAGAGGGCGTTGGCGATAATGATGTAGGGGATGCGACGACCGCCCCTTATAGGCGCACAGTCAGTTAAGATCCTGGAGAATGGTGGGGAATGGATGGAGCAGGCACAGCACAAGGAGTGGGAAAGTGATGCCAAGAGAGCAGCGAGAGGGCGTTGGCAATGATGATGTAGGGGATGCACCGTTCGCCCCTTATAGGCACACAGCAAGATAAGATCCTGCAGAAGCGGGATAGGGGTCATGAGCTGTGCTGCTGAGTCAACTCAAGAGAGTTAACAAGCGTGGGGCCCTACACTCAGTTGGGGCTCACGTGGGCGTCACAAACCACAAACCCAGAAGGGGTTTAACACTCACTCACACAACCATGCAGGGCCGCCACTCACTACTAACCCATACAACGGCTTCACGCTCCACGGCATGTAGGCAGTGGAGGTCATGAGCTGTGCTGGTGAGTTGAATCAGGAGTCTTTGAGAAAGATTTCTCACACTCACCCACGTGGGGCCCTACACTCACCCATATAAGGGCTTCACGCTCCACGGCATGTAGGCGGTGGAGGTCATGAGCTGCGCTGCTGCTGGGCCCAGCTTCAGATGGTCCTTCACCAGAATGCTGATTCCCGTCCAGGGGAACGCGCGGAAGCCCTGAGAGGTGTGAATGATATGGGATGGATTGAAGAACGGTGAGGATGGGTGAAGAAAGGTGGAGGGAGGGGAAGAGGCAGGCGCAAGGACAGACCCAGCTTCAGATGGTCCTTCACCAGAATGTTGATGCCCGTCCAGAAGAACGCGCGGAAGCCCTGGGGGTTATGGATGAGTGGGGGAGGGGTGCAGTACGGTGGAGGGATGAAGAAGGGAGGGAAAGGGGCAGGAACAAAAGAAGCTTGGCCTGAGATGGGCCTTCACCAGAATGCTCATGGCCGCCCAGGAGGAAGGGATACAATGAGTGCAGGAGAGCGAAAAACGGTGAAGTGGTGAGACAAGTAAGAAGCCGCTTACAGGATGCCTCATATCCCGTCAAAATCCGTCAAAACCCCTCAGAAGCCAAAATCCGTCAAATAACATCAATTCCGTCAACTCGTCAGAATCTGTCAAAACCCGTCGGCAGCCATCTCGTAGCCCTTGTTGCAGTATATCACCTGTGCCCAGTAGATGCTGAAAACGAGGATGAGGAAAGGCGTGCCGAAGCAACGCCGCAACGAGTTGAGCCACGAGACGAGAAGCATGGTGGAGCACAGGCAATGAGTTGAGGAGCCACCAGTGGAGATGGACGGCTGAGATGCGCGCGATGGATGGCGAAGTTGTTCTAGTGGCTACGGAATTGTGGGCGAAGGGCTGACCGTCAATTGAGATGCTAAACGGTCAAGTCTGTTCACCGTGGGATGCCAAGCCAGGGCTCCTCATACACTCGCAGACTCAACTCCATCTGGCTTAGGCATCATTCACGCATCTATAATCAGGTTAGGGTTCTGACGATTAAGTAACTGCAGTCAGTCCGGTTACGATGCGTATTCAGCAGCTACAGCTATGTCATTGTCGTAAGGCCATCTGGTGCGATAGCCGAAACAACAAAATTTTCCAAATTCTGACCAGCGAACGACGGATGAGGGCGTACAGATCCTGCCAAAGTAATGGCTGGTTCCGGGTATTGTCAGGAAAAGAGAATTACACGGTTACAAGGTCATCAGATTGTAAGTAGACTTCATTTGATGATAAATCTCGGAGATGCCGAGATGGGCAAAACTAATGTTTCCTGCCGGGATGAAAGCTGGTTACAAAGGTGAGCAGGCAAAATACTAATGACTGGTAAAGACGTCGCTACACAGAGACGGCTGAGATCAAAGAGTGTGGGCCTCCTACAGAAGCTGGATTGAATCAGAAAAAGGGGAAAGTGGAGAAACTGAGGAACGGAGAACGTTAGTCATGAAGTTTTGAATCAGGAACAGGCATGAGACGAGGCGAAACGGGGATGGGTTGCTTGCGAGAATGTTGATCTGGAAAAGCCTAGAGTATGGATCCATCGTCGCTTTAACTCTGATTGGATGGCGCCGCTTTTCCCATCTCGAAACCTCCGCGTTGAGAATTTAAAATGCTCTGATTGGGTCGTATCTGGTCGGTGAAGAACACTGTCGACAGTATTTGCGACAGCTTTCGCACTTGCGATGGCCGTCGCATGAACGAACCTGACAGCAGACTCACTTTTGCTTCCCGCGCGTTTGCCGCAAAACACCGCCTTGGGGATTGGTCTGTCCAGTCTACGCGTTCCTTTCTCTTCAAATAAAGCGGTTTTGTTCGGTTGACAAGGTCCGCGACGGTGGAAAGCAGGAACTGTTTTCGAGGCTGGGCACAGATTATGATGAACCAGAGTTCATCTAAGGGCGTGTCCAGCTCGTTCATTTCGGGAAATCTAGTACCTCCTCACGATCCGGGGCTCAAAACTGAACACTGTACCTATAAACGAGAGTGCCTTGCTCGAGTCCACCCTTTCTGTCATTCTGGCGCGCGGACACCATCCCCCCACACAGACTTCAACAGTGCAGGGGCCGTGTGGCAACCAAGGTAAACAGTTCCCTCGTCAACCAAAGCATTAGAATTTTCGCCAGGCCAACACTTCCACTATAGGTTTTGGCGAGTGTCAGGCGGCACATGCAAAATCAAGCTCGCGATACGATGGGCACTCACTGTAGTGGGCAGGACGCGGCTCTGTACCATTGTTCGATGCGCACGCTAATTCCTGTAACGTGCATCACACGATTCGAGGTACGTGCAGGGGGTGTGCCGTATCGTGAACGGGAGCTGATCGTGTCTGGCATTTTTGTAAAACTCAGTGTTACAACTCAAATTGTGGTAACTGAAGGGCTTTACGAACAGTAAATGAACGAGCTGGACACCCCCTAACACGGTTAAGTACGATGTTTTGCGCTGCATAGCGTTTTGTCCAACTCTCAACCACACCCACCAATCATGCAGGTCTCTCTTCCAATCATTGATGGCAGCATCCGGTCTGAAGCGGAGCATTTATGTCAAACGGAGCGTGATGTCTGCGTTCGCTATGTAGATACTTTTGAATCCGTGCGGTAGGTGATGCTGGCATGGAGTTCCTACGATCGCGATTGCGTCAGCGGAGGCTTCCGTGAACTCCTGCAGCTCGGCTTCGTGGAACCTGGATGAGAGGTGGGAGAAGGAAAGGGAGGTGAGGAGGAGAGGGGATGGAGGGGTGTAGAGTTGAAGACGGCAAAGAGTGTTCCTTCTATACCCGGGGGGGGGCACTGACGGGAGGATAGGACAAGAACGACACGAACCTGGGTGGGAGGTGAAGGGATGGAGGGGGGTTGAGGGTGGGGGGTGTGGGGGGGGGAAAGGGGGATGGTCGGGAGGGGATGGATGATATGCTGACTTGAATAAGGTAAGCAATGTTTCCCGCACAGGCACGGGGCATAGGCAGGGGGCACAGGCAGGGGGTGTTTCCAGGGTTTTCCCCACTCTCCTTCCCCCAATGCCTCAAACACACACTCTTCCCTTTCTCTTCACTTAAAACTAGTTCACTGCATCCGAAACAGCAGCAGGGCCCATCAGGAACATGGTGTCGGGGATGCGGCTGAAACCCCCCATCTCCCACCTAAGCTCAAGAGTAGCTTGAATTATTTGACTTCAACTCTACTCACTTGAACTGGTCCACCGCATTAGAAACAACAGTAGACCCCAGCAGGAAGACAGTATCAGGGATGCGGAGCCTCAGGTTGAGGCGCGAGGTGAGGAGCGTGTCGAATAGTCACTCTACAATAGTCGTGAGCTAGATTACGGGGTGTTAGCACAAATTCTATGAGTGATCATAGCTTTGCGTAGTTCCTTAGCACTTGTACAGTCACGGGAGAAGATGGGCAAGAGTTTTCACTAGGCAAAGATTGCATTACAGAATGATTAAACAAGCAATAACAAGGATGACTACATAAGTCACCTAGCAACTCTGCAGCCAGCCTGATCAACCGCCAGCACAGCATGGTCGACCGCCTGCCAACGTTGCGTAAAGGAGTTGCGCCAGCACTGCAGAAAGGCGACCTGCCAACACAGCAAGTCGACGGCGTGCGAACGTTGTAGCTGAGCGGCTGTCCGGCGTTGCCCCGTAGAAGATGGCAGTGCGCACGTATGCAGGTCTGCGCAGACGATTGGCCCGACTTGCACTGTTGTGCATCTGTCGGCTGTGGTCTGCGCATGACGAGCCACATCGACTTCGGGATACCAGTCCGAAGTCGCTTTCGTCACCACGACCTCGACGACGTTTGCGTGCCTTAGCAGATTTCGCCGAGCAGTTTACCTGGTCGACCAAGTCGACCACCCTGTGCTCTGGTCGATGCCTCCCTCGTCGACCACAGCTCCCATCAAGGAACACCCAGGTCAACGGACCCCTCCATCGACCAGCACTGTCAGCTACTATCGCCGAGCTCCCCTCGTCGACTGCCGCTCACATCATAGGTCGACGGACTGCTCCGTTGACCTCCCCGTCGAACTGCTCCTGGTCGACAGTCCCGTCGATCGACACAATCAGCTGCACCCGTCGAGTTCCAGTCCTCGACAGTTGCCCGTTGATCACCCGTAGCCTGTTGAGCTGACCCTCCTGGTCGACGGCCCATCCGGAAACCAGCCCAGTCAACTGCAGCCGTGAAGCTTCCCTGGTCGACGGCTCTAGCCCCACGACAGTTCAGTGCAGGTCGACGACCACCACGTCGACCTCCTCTACAAAAGAAGGCCATCGAGCTCCCTGGTCGACGGCAACACCACAGTGAACTCCTGCAGCTCGACGAAGCTCGTCGAGCAGCTCCCTCACTGCGTATGGTCGACTGCTTCTCCGGTACATCCGGCCAGGACGTCGGCATCGCCCAAGCGAGGGCGGGGCTAACACTCCATTCCCGTTAACACTCCCCTACCGCGCTCAGGCTTGGGCTCCCCAGCCCACACGGCAGTACTCTACAAAGAAAACTCGTCCTCGGCGTGCACCCCACACACAGCACGCCGAGCAGAAGGGCACGGCACCTACTGCTGGACATCGTCGTCGTGCTCGCTGACGTCGGCTAGACACACTCGGCCGATTGTGATGGAGCACCGGTGGAAGGCCGGAAAGTGCAGCGCCTTCGTCAGGATGTCGGCCAGCTGCTCGGTGGTCGGGATGTACTTCAGCACGAACTTCCCGCGCCTCACCATTTGCTGCAGCTACGCATAGCGTCGCTCCATGTGCTTGAGGTTGCCCGGCAGCCCCAAGCCCTCAGTGATAGTGATGGCCGGCTTGTTGACCACCTGAAGGACAGTCGGCTTCCCAACGTCGAGATGCAGATGTCAAACTCATATGCTATAGTCTGTGTAGGCTGTAGTGGGGTAGATAATATGGGGTACAACACTTCTAGGTTTTTCTTACTTGTACCCACCTGCTTGCTAGTTCATTCATTCCTCATTTCTTCACATGGTATAGAGCAGGTTCCCTAGTGGGAACGCTTCCTTGGGTCCACCACTGAAACTTTTTTTTCTGACCGGAGCGACAGTCGCTCCTGCCCGAGGTGCGCCTTGTGGGCTGCCCTTCTGTCGACCTCTCTTAGAGGCCCCTCTCACGGCCCCTCGCGCCACCCTCAGCGGCCTCGTCGCCGCCCCTAGCGGCCCAGTAGCCGCCCTTCCAGGCCCCTTGCCGCCCCTAGCGGCCCTGTCGCCGCCCCTAGCGGCCCCGTTGCCGCCTCCCTACCTACGCGGCCCCGCTGCCGCCCCTACGCGGCCTCGTAGCCGCCCCTAGCGGCCCCGTAGCCGCCCCTACGCGGCCCCGTCGCCGCCCCTAGCGGCCCCGTAGCCGCTACCCTCCCCCTAGCGGCCCCGTAGCCGCCCCTAGCGGCCCCGTCGCCGCCCCTAGCGGCCCCGTCGCCGCTATCCTCCCTACGTGGCCCCGTTGCCGCCCCTATGCGGCCCCGTCGCCGCCCCTAGCGGCCCCGTGGCCGCTGACCTCCCTACGCGGCCCCATTGCCGCCCCTACGCGGCCTTGTCGCCGCCCCTACGCAGCCCCGTCGCCGCTCCTAGCGGCCCCGTCGCCGCTCCCCTCCCTACGCGGCCCCGTCGCCGCCCCTACGCGGCCCCGTCGCCGCCCCTACGCGGCCACGTCGCCGCCCCTAGCGGCCCCGTCGCCGCTCCCCTCCCTACGCGGCCCCGTCGCCGCCCCTAGCGGCCCCGTCGCCGCCCCTTCCCAGCCCCGTCGCCGCCCCTAGCGGGCAGCCGAGCCGCCGAGCCGCCCAGCAGCAGCAACCGCCCCTGGAGCACCCGCCACAGCAGCAGCCGCCCCTGGAGCAGCCGCCACTGCAGCAACCGCCCCTGGAACAGCCGCCACTGCAGCAGCCGCCCCTGGAGCAGCCGCCACTGCAGCAGCCGCCCCTGGAGCAGCCGCCACTGCAGCAGCCGCCCCTGGAGCAGCCGCCACTG